TCCAATCTCCAAATCCTAGGCATTTTTTCTACCTTAAATCTTTTTTGTTTGGTTTTTAGGCTGATTTTTGTGCATAGAATTCTCAAGCATGAAAGAATTACAGCTAATTTCTTCCAACATCGATTGAATTCACTTGACATCTTCACAGACTGGTTGGAATCTGCGTTCTCTTCTTCCTATATTTGGTCTGACTGTAGGCTGCAACTCCACAACAGTATCAATATCAGTTTCTCTGTGGAAGAGAATCTAGCTAAGCAATCAAGAAATGGACATAAGTTGCAGGGATTTATTGTAATGGAATAGAAGTCTGACAAGCAAACAAAATGCTTTGACTGTCCAGCAACTGACCACCAATCACTGGGTGTCTTCATGTGACTTGAGGGTCTGGGATTTAAGTCAACAGGAGCTGGAACTTCTTGAGGCTGGAAATCCTATGAGGAAGAATCTGTTTCTGCTGTTGAGGACTGGGGGTTCTGGGTAAATTTTAAAAACTAGAAGCCTCAAAGTCACTGACTAAGTCTGCACTGAGATAATGGATAAAGCCCAGAGACCAAACATTTCAATTAGTAGTTACAGAAGAACTTTGAAAGAAATGGAAAGCTGCATGCAAACGTACTCTCCACCTGTCATCTCCTGTAGGTTCTGGTTCTTCCCTGGATACTTGTGCTGTGTGGCGGCCTCTCTACTCCCTGAGGGTGTTTGAACTCTTAGTGACACCTGGCCCTGGACTCCATGCAGGGCCAGCTTCATGGGCATGTGACCTGCGCAGTCACAGAGGGCCCCAAGCTCAGAAGGATCCTCATGCTTGGTTGAATGTTCTGCTGTCATCGTCTTGGAATTATTTGTAATTTTATCTTTGAATATATGTTTTGTAAGTGAAATTCAATTAGACAAGGAGATGTGGATGTGAGCAGAGGAAACGTACACAATACATCTCTCTCCTAAAGTTCCTCGCTGGTTCATTGACGTACAGCATTCTCGATAACCCCATGAGCACAGAATTAAGGTGAACTGACAATGCATGGGGGTTCAGCAAGACTCAAAAGTGAGTACAAGGTGTCAAGCACAAGACAAGGCAGACTCAAGGCATGACAGATTCAGAAGGTAAAAAAATATATATATCCTTTTATTAGATTCAGATACTTTATTAAGTACATGGGCAGTGAAAGGAAAAGTTGTCGGTGGTGAAAGCTCATGACCCTGTCATAAGACGACACTCAAAAAAGGGGACCAGAGGACTAAGACATACGTAATAGGGGACTCTGTTGCTGTCCAGTCAATGCCCTGCTGCAGCTAAGCAGTTTTACATCCTGGAGCTGTGCCCTAAGGAGGGCTAGGTGAAAAGTCCCGCGCCTCACTGCAAGCAGGGAGGTGGGTGGGAAAAGTGCCTAGTGGCAGCCTCCCACAAGAAAGAGAGGTAGTATGAGAAAAGGGTCAAGCTCCTCACAAGACCGTCTGTCTTATGTTCCTGGGTGGAGGACAGGGTATTCCGCCAAGATTGGGTTCTGACCTGCATGGCCTATGTGGACAGCTACAGGGTGGCCAGGACACCATGGCAGAGCCTTTCCCCTGCACAAAGCGTGTCTAAAACTGATGGGGGCCTTAACAGCCCCTGGAAGAAATGCTTTCCTGTGCACTAGAAGTTATTTCTGGATCTTCAGGCTGTGAAAACAGACAGGATTTTTTTTACTGACAGTAAGGAGATCTATCTCCCTCTAGTGTTAGGGGTTGAATTGTGTCCACCGAAGAGATATGTTGAAGTCCTAACCCCTGTACCTGTGAATGTGATCTTCTTTGGGGTAACAGGGTTTTTCTTTGAAGATAAACCCACTTCGGTGGAGTCGATTCCAACTCATAGCGACCCTATAGGACAGAGTAGAACTGTCCCGTAGGGTTTCCAAGACTGTAAATCTCTACGGGAGCCGACTGCCACATCTTTCTCCTGCTCTTTGAAGAGAGTATCGGTTAAGTAACACCCGGAGAAAGATGGGTCCTAGTCCTAATCCTTTCTGAGTGCAGTTTCATAAGAGAACAGACGTGCAGAGAGGGTCAGGCAGAGACCAATAAACGCCAAGAGAGAGCCGGGAACAAGCGTCAAGGAAGGTTCTTTCCGCCAGAGCCCACAGGGAGCACTGCCCTGCACGAGGCCCTAAACTGGGATTTCTACTCCCCAGAACACTGAGGACAATTTACATATGCTCTTCAAAGCCACAAACTTCGCTTTATTATAACAGGTATTCCTGAGAAACTTTGAGCAATCGCTAGAAATGACCCAGCACAGAACCTCAGCTGCCGCTTGAAAGAGTCTTTCGCTGATTAAGGGAAACAGTACAAGGAACTTCCCCTATGGGCACATTTCACGCTCTTGCGCAAATAAAAATTACTAGCACTCAGGCTCTCTCCACAACCGCAAGAAAAGGGAACAACATGCTCAATTACACGGGCCACAAACCGACGCAGTTCTAATTTTTGAACAGCCAAAAATCAAGAGAAAGCGCGAACGCAGTACCCCACTACCACAAATTATGCAGTCGAGTTTCCCACATTTGGGGAAATCGCAGGGGTCAGCACATCCGGAGTGCAATGGACAAGCCTCGCTCTGGGAAAACCATCTTCGTGATCATGGTATCTCCCCTGTCAGGTAAGTATGAGTTGCTCGCCTCCCGCCACCACACAGCCTCACACTCCTTTCACTTTACACACACGGTCATTCTGCTGTCCTCACTCCCGAGCCCTCATAGCCCTCCTACGCTCCTACTGAGCCCAATTTCAAGCGACAGCCCCTGGACCCTTTCCCACAGCACGGACAGTCGTAACGTGTTTAAGCAGCAGCTCTCGACCCAGTAGCCACTGCGCTGCCATATCTGCATATGTCGCAGCCCTGTCCGTGTCGTCACCGACCGCGCTCTTCCCGCCTACCTACGCCCCGCCCGCCTTTTCCTCCTCCCAGTCCTCCCAGACAGCCAATCAGCGGGCCGGCAGCCGGAGGAAAAGTGACGTCTACCTCCCCCTCCCCGGTCACCGCTCCCCACCCCGTTCGGGCTCCGAGCGGAGCTCCCGGCCAGCCCCAGCCGCGGCCCTCCCCGTCTGCGCGGGGTCTGCACCTCTCTCCTTCCCGCGCCCCTTTGGCGTTCGGCTGAAGCCTGCGCAGGCTTCTGGGAATAACGGCTCTTAACGCGTAGAATACGACAGGTGTTCTGCTTGATTCCAAAAGTTTACAAAGGAAACCGGCCCCTTACAAACGCAGTCTTCTGTGTGATGTACCATTTCGGTGGAGATTTGGAGCCGTCCTCAGAAAGGAAGAAACAGCCCCTCTGAAGCTGGAAGGACCGCCCCGTGGACTGCAAACCCGCACGCGGTCCTTCCTGCTTTTACCGCCCTTGGTTTACAAAGGCAGTTTCCAGTCTAGTTTCATGAAGCAGAGGCGACTGGCCATCTCAGACTCTCGGGCGTGGTGTCGGGCTCTGTCGGCGCTCCGATGGCCACCCCAGACCTTCAGTGCCCACCTTATGTCAGCGCTGTATGTTCCGCGGAGGGAGAAACACTCGTCCCACTGTGGCAAAATACCCGGGCCAAGTTCTACCTGAGGCGCTTAACGGATGACCTGACCTTCTTGCCTCGTGTAGAGTTATAACCCGGGAAAAACTAAAGGCAGAGCTTGGAACACGCAACTCAAACACTATTTGGATATTCACAAATAGATCCAAAACATTTATTGGAGGGTTCTCCTCTGTGCAGGGTGTGCAAAGGGTGTGTGGTATGGTGGCCCGTCGCACACTGGAGGACAAGGCCCGTGCTGAAGATGAGGGATTAGGTGACGGTGTAGCGACCCAGTGCTGAATCCTCCGTTCCTGCCTCATGCCCTGAATACTGGCAGCCAGCCGCAACCTCCAGGCAGGAATGGAGGAACACTATTGCTATCTATGCTTCTTGGGATGTTCTCCCGTCACCGCAGTGTGACGCGTGCAACTCTAACGCTTTTTACATTGTTAAGATGTATTCATAATGCATCGCCTATGTATAAGTCATTTATAATGTGAAATTCGAAAAGGAATTTCTGAGTTTAGAAATAGAAACATCATATGTTTCTGGAATGCTCTCTAACCATTAACTGTAAATCATTAGAAAGTTGTTCTAACTTTGAAAACAGATAACAGAAGTATGTGGAAACCCAACCAAAACCAAACCCATCGCCTTCGAGTCAATTCCGACTCTGCTTCACAGGGTCTCCAAGGAGCGGCTGGTGGGTTCGAACTGCCAACCTTTTTCTTAGCAGCTGAGCTCTTACCCACTGTACCACCAGGGCTGTGGAATAGGTTGTAAATACTTTTCTGAAATTGAGCTGGGCACCTACAGTCTGTGATAACAGAATGTAGCATTAATCAGATCTCTATCAGTTGTGAGGATGGCGCAGGACCGGGCAGCGTTTCGTTTCTTAACTGGCAATAAAGCAGACCAATTACAGTTGAACATGACAGCACAAGTGGTATATAAACCCGTGGATTTCTGCTCGTTTTCGGAGAAGAGAGAAGCCAGCGGTCTCTCTGGCTCTCTCTCTGAAGACCGAGAAGCCTGCTGAGATGCTGCTCACCACAGCCGACTTCGGACCCTGTCTACGGGGACCGCCTCCGAGCTCAAGACGTGGCCAGGCCTCCTCCCCGAGACCACTCGTTAAAGGTAAAAGCCCAAAGTCGAAAGATTTCAACTTTTTTTTATGTTTGAAATTGTTTTGAAAAGGAAGATTGGAACTCTTGTCCCAGGTTCTACTTTGTTCTCCTGAGATGAAAATTCTGAAAGCGAAAGGTTAGGTTTCCAAGATGAGTTCAGCAGGAGCGGTGGCGCTTCCCGGTGGCCCAGAGCAGGATGCTGCTCTTGGGGGCTCCCAGCCCCTGAACAGCTGCTCCTGGCCTCTCAACAATCCAAGACTGGGCGAGGCCCGGACTCTTCTACATCAAGCGAAGCTGAAGATTCCTGCGGAGGAGAGGGGTTGCAAAAGAGATTTCCCTGACCGGGAATCGAACCCGGACCGCGGCGGTGAAAGCGCCGAATCCTAGCCACTAGACCACCAGGGAACTGCGTGCTGCGTTTTGATCTCCCGCCTCCAGACAGTACCTGGCTTTGCACCAAAGTCGGGAAGCCTGGACGCCCACCTTCCCGGGTTCCGCCCTCTCCTTCAGCGATCCCCTCCCCCCCCACCCCAGGCCGTTTCCTCCCTGCCTTCTCCAAAAGGCGAGCCAGACTGCCACACACCGTGCGCCGTCAGGTCTCCGCAAGTCTCGGAGCGAGGTGGCTCTTCCCCTCCGCACCTCAGACCTGATCTAGAGACGCGCCTTTGCGGGGCCGCAGCGTGTGGGGACTTGGTGGCCTGGACTATTGACAACTGCAGCCCCCACAGGCCTCTATGGTGTATATGACATGTTGGAGACTTGTCAGCGATAAGAATGAGATTAGGCACGACTTGTTTTCCCAAACCTATTGCCCGGTTATTGATTGGCTTGTTTACCTGAATTCCTTCTCCCTTGCCCGAAACTTATTGTTACTCACCCAAAACCCATTGTTCTGTTATTTGCTTCACTGCTTGCCGTATTGACTATAAAATAAACTCCTGAGACTGAAGCCGGGGTTCGACTCCTCAGAGTGACCCTCCTGGCCCCACTTCTCTGGAAGAGTTGTGGAATTGGTTATTGTCTCCGCCGCCCCGACATTCGCCGTCGCTGCGACAGATGGTGCCCCGCGTGAGGGGCTGCGACACTGGACCAGGGCAGGGGACGAGCTTGCAGAGAAGAGGCGCCCAGGATGGAAAGGGGTATGAACACCCGAGATCTCCGACGGCAAAAAGGGCCCAGACGGATGCAGAAACGGTGACAGCCTGGAGTTGGAGTAGACTGGACGACAGCGGTTTTTTCGTTTATCTGTTAAATGTGGACGTTGGTCTCCACAGTCCCTACGTTTCCTGAGCTCCTAATTTGGACCAACGACTCTCCAGATGAAGGCGGGAAATTAGTGTACCGCGGGATCCTCTGATTGCTTTGAGACCCTTAATTCCAAGGTTGTGGAGCTGGGCTGCCTTTGCCCCTTTTCTCAGGCTCTGTCCCTCAGATACAACCTGTTCCTGGCATGTTTTGGAGAGTTGGGGACATGCGTGAGACACTTCCGCGCAACTTGTCTCTCCAGGTCAAGAAACCAGTTCCCTTCGGATTCCCCCTGCAGAGAAGCTTCAGAAGGCGTTTTTTTTTTTTTTTTTTTTTGTTTGTTTCTTGAACAGGGGGCTGCCCGGGTGTGCGAAGCGCAGGGGCTCACGCGGTGAGTTTGCGGTTCCCCAGTAGCTCGCCGTTCTCTCCGTCTCTGTAGGGGAAGGACAACTGTCCCCTTTGCCCTGTTCAGGACGGATTCCAAAGGGTCCATATGCGACAGAAGGGCGATGAATCAATCCACTCCTTTGGGTGGGTAGGGCAGGCGGAAAATAGATCAAGGAGGGAAGGAAAGGGGAAAGTGCGTTATGAAATTTCCTGATCTCAAGCTACCGTGAGGTCAGCCTCGTCTAGAACAGGATCCTAGGTCGCTGGTGAGAGTGACCAAGTCCAGTTGTATAAATGGCTCCACTTTGAGGCAAAAAACAAAGCCGCGCACCGCGTCCTGGTTTCCAGTGAGCAGCCAAGTCCGCGCCCTCCCCAGGGTATGAAGGCAGCGCAGGAAGCACTGCACCAAGAAACAAGGACACAGTTCTCATCATCTGGCTCTTGGCAGGCGGGGCATCAAACAAGGCCTGCTTAATGTTAGTTTAGTCCAGGATAGTTCTAAAGGTTCTCTTTGTTCTCTTCTATCACCTCAACCTTCTCCACAGGCTGACGCTGAAGAAATTTTTGTCTTTGAAGGTGCATTTCCTGTGAGTCCTACTGGGCTTTTCTCCAACGTGAGCACAGTTGCAGATCAGGTTGATTTGCGTGACAGAAGCAAGGAAAATAACCTAAATCTGCATCTGGCGCCTGTGGTGTCAGTGTTCCGTATTCACACCAATTAAAGGTGTATATTTTATATTAGCACTTGTATGCATACCCTCTATCCCAAGTAATTCACAGAAAACTGTAAGGGCACGAACTACCACATCAGCCTTTAAATGACCATTTTAATGAATACAATTCACAATGAGTGGTGTAAAGATCCTGGAAGGCTCTCACTCCCTTGCTCACCCTTTTCTGCTTCATCCCTGCATGCTCCCAATTCTGCCTAGACCAGTTCAGGGCGTGGCTTTGGATAGGTGCCTAACCTAGTTCTCTCTTGGATGCGCTTCGACTCCCTGGCGCCAAAAGAAGCTGTTGAGAATGCCTGAGTGGCGAGCACTGGTATGGTTGGAGGACATAGACCCCTGAATTCTCAAGGATCTGCCTGCTCTTCATCACGCGAAAAGCCCAAAGGCCCTCCTCACAGCTTCCGTCTTCTCTATAAGGATTGTCACTCTTAAACTTAGCCCTTCCCTGAACCCTAAGACCAAGCCTCTAACATCTTCAGCACCATGGAGGTATCTGCCTGGCTCCTGATTCGGAGCTACTCTCCTTCTTGAAGGTTCAATTACTTGATCTCGCCTGCATAATGGGCATGTTGTTGTTGTTGTCAGGTGCTGTCAAGTCGGTTCCGACTCATAGCGACCTTGTGTACAACAGGACGAAACACTGCCTGGTCCTGAGCATCCTCACAATCGTTGTTACGCTTGAGCCCATTGTTGCAGCCACTGCATCAATCCATTTCGTTGCAGATCTTCCTGTTTTTCACTGACCCTCTACATTAACAAGTATGATGTCCTTCTCCAGGGACTGATCCCTTCTGATAACACGTCCAAAGTAAGTGAGAAGATTTCTTACCATTTTCATGTCCAAGGAGCACTCTGGCTGTATTCCTTCCAAGACAGAATTGTTCCTTCTTTTGGCGCTCCATGGTATATTCAATATCCTTCGCCAACATCATAATTCAAAGACGTCAGTTCTACCTCAGTATTCCTCATTCATTCACTTTTCACCGGCAATAAAAAAACGAATTCCTAAGTCATTAGATGGCTCTGAGGGAAAGACCGGCGCCAATGAGAACTTGCTGTTTTCTGCCTGAGCAAATGGGAGGATGGAGTTGCCATCAGCTAAGATGGAAAAACTGCAGATACAGCCTCTTTTAGGGGAAAGATCCGGAGTTCAGTTCGGGGTCCCGGGGCTTTCCATCCAGGCTGTCTCCGAATCTGCATCCGTCTGAGCCCTTTCTGCTGTTGGCGATCTCGGGTGTTCATACTCCGCCCCCTTCCCATCCTGGGCGCCTCCTCCCTGCAAACTGGTCCCCTGCCCTGGTCCAGGCCACTACGTCTCCACACACACCGTGCATCTCTAGGTCAGGGGGGCGAAATCTGCGCAAACGGGGAGTCTCCTGTGCTGTTTCCCTTAATCAGCGAGAGACTCTTTGACGCGGCAGCTGAGGTTCTGTGCTGGGTCATTTCTAGCGATTTCTCAAAGTTTCTCGGGAATACTTGTTACAATAAAGCGAAGTTTGTGGCTTTGAAGAGCGCATGTAAATTGCCCTCAGTGTTCTGGGGAGTAGAAATCCCAATTTAGGTTGTCGTGCCGGGCAGTGCTCCCTGTGGGCTCCGGCGGGAAGAACCTTCCTTGTCGCTAGTTTCCGGCTCTCTCCTGGCGTTTATTGGTCTCTGCCTGACCCTCTCTGCACATCTGTTCTGTTTTATGAAACTGCACTCAGAAAGCATTAGGACTAGGACCCACCCTTCTCCGGGTGTTACTTAACTGATACTCTCTTCAAAGATCAGGAGAAAGATGTGGCAGTCGGCTCCCGTAAAGATTTACAGCCTTGGAAACCCTGTGGGGTAGTTCTACTGTGTCCTGTAGTGTCGTTATGAGTCGGAATTGACTCCACCGCAGGGGGTTTATCTTCAAGGAAAGACCCTGTTACCCCAAAGAAGATCACATTCACAGGTACAGGGGTTAGGACTTCAAAATCTCTCTTCTGTGGATGTGATTCAATCCCTAACACTAGAGGGAGATATGATTACCATGGCTGATGATCTCCTTACTGTCAGTAAAAAATCGTGTCTGTTTTCACAGCCTGAAGGTCCTGAAATAACCTCTAGTGCCCAGGAAAGCATTTCTTCTGGGGGCTGTTAAGGCACCCATCAGTTTTAGACCCGCCTTGTCAGGGGAATGGCTCTGCCATGCTGTCCTGGCATAGGCCATGCAGGTAAGAACCTGAGTCTTGGCGGAATACCCTGTTCTCCACCCAGGAACGTAAGACACAGGGTCTTGTGAGGAGCTTGACCCTTTTCTCATCTGCCTCTCTTTCTTGTGGGAGGCTGCCACGAGGCACTTTTCCCACCCACCTCCCTGCTTATAGTGAGGCATGGGACTTTTCACCTAACCCTCCTTAGGGCACAGCTCCAGGATGTAAAACTGCTTAGCTGCAGCAGGGCATTGACTGGACAGCAAGAGTCACCTGTTACGTATGTCACAGTCATCTGGCCGCTATTTTTGAGGGTTGTCTTAAAACAGGGCCATAAGGAGCTGGCACCACTGACAACTTTTCCTTTCACTGCCCATGTACTTAATAAAGTATCTGAATCTAAAAAAAGATTATTTTTTTTTAACCTTCTGAATCTGTCATGCCTTGAGTCTGCCTTGTCTTATGCTTGACACCTGGTACTCACTTTGAGTCTTGCTGAACCCCCATGTGTTGTCGGTTCACCTTAATTCTGTGGTCATGTGGTTATCAAGAATTTTGTATGTAAATGAGCCAGCCAGGAACTTTTGGGGAGAGAAGTATTGTGTGCATTTCCTCTGCTCACATGTACACTTCCTTGTCTAATTGAATTTCACTTATGAAACATATATTCAAAGATAAAGTTACAAATACTTCCAAGACGATGACAGTAGAGCATTAAACCAAGTGTGAGGATCCTTCTGAGTGTGGTGTCATCTGTGACTGCACAGGTCGCATGCCCATGAAGCTGGCCCTGCTTGGAGTCCAGGGCCAGGTGTCACTAAGAGTTTCAACACCCTCAGGGAGTAGAGAAGCTGCCACACAGCAC